GAAGCCACGTGCTGTGTGAAGTAACATCGACCATGTTGCCGCCATGCCTCCTTGCCGCCCTCGCATGTTCAAGATCAGCGAGTGTATATTGCGTTACGTATGTGCATTTAATTGAGTGGCGTCACAAGGACCATAGGTTAATTATCAGTATTATGTAGAACTTAAATTGTGTCTTGTCTTGAATTTTATTTATATGGTTCGGAGCGCTGTGTCATTTTAAGATAATTTGTTGACATCTGATAAGTTAGTTTTTAATTTTTGTGCATAATTTTTAGCCAAATTAATGTGATAGCTTTATTTCTAGTCCAATTTTTATATTGTATAAAAGACTGATGTCCGTATAACCCAATTATAACAGCTCTTATTGTTATGGCTAAGCGTTGTAATTCCCTTTTATGGTTTTGGTTATACGATAAAATATTGACACGCGCGTAAACCAATGGCAAGCTTATAATTCGAGCTAAAATTACTTTAAGCATTGTTACGAAAGCTCGTTATATTACCTCCATAAGGGAGGCGCTGTTGCTCATTATTTTGTTTTTTTTTCCTAATGTTTGTATGTATTTTTGTAAAAAATAGTAGCAGCGCTCAATAATTTTTGTATTATTAAATTGACAATGTTTTGTAACTGATGTGTGTGCCGCAGTGTAGGCTGATTTTAAAAGTGTTCAGTTAATGTATTAATACGAAACTGTTGTTTTAATAATGATCTGGAGAGTTGTAAGACCGATCAGTTATCTTATTGAAATTTATTTGTCTGCGACATGCAATGTATTCACCCTCGTAAAATTCTTTTTGTACACGTTTAAAAATTGTAAATATTTTGGTACATGACCTTTTGTAAGTTTTAACTACGTTCAAACTTGAGGGGAGTACTGTAGGGGCTTACCCCCACTCTATACTAGTCGTGCGGTGTAACCGCTTACTGACGACTTCAGTCCTTGCCGAGCTCGAGTCCGAGCCGCACATGTCATACTTGTAAATAAAGCACACACTCGTTTACAAGGTCTCTCTGCTCATTCCAGCACCTTCTCCCACGACGACATATAATATATACAGGGACTAAAACCCTACACGGGTTATGTGGGGATTGGTGCTTTCGTTATTTTATTTATCATATTAATTAACAAAGCGGCCAGTATGTGCTCCGGGTTGTGTGGTGATCGGTGCTTGCGTTATTTTATTTATTTGATTAATAAACAAAGTGGCCAGTAAGCGCTCCGGGTTGTGTGGTGGTTGGCGCTTTCGTTATTATTTAAAGCATTAAATTTAAAAGTGGCCAGTAGGCGTTCCGTATTACTGGGTTAATGAGCATTGGGTTATTGGGTTTAATAGCTTGGGGTTTATTTATTTATTATGTTAGAAATTCTGTTGAGTTATGTAGGTTTTTGCGTTTTGCTCCATATAGCCAATTTGAATTTTGCGCTACTTTGGATGCCACTTTTGGGAGCACTGGCAGTTAAGTTACGTAGGTCGTGGTAACGCCGCATAGTCCGGCGGCGCTAGCGTCAACCTGTACTAACTGTCGGTGGGTTCCGCATGTCAACAAACTCCGAAATATCAGATGGCACGGGAGCGAAAACAGTAAAAAATATCAAAGTTTGTTCACATGCGGAACTCACTGACGGTTAGTACAGGGTCTGTACCATATAACTATTTTTCTGAATACTGGCCTATGTTATAACATAGGCCCGTGAAGCAAAAAAAAGTTATATGGTACGGCCCCAGGTTGAAGCTAGCGCTGCCCGACCATGCGGCGTTACCAGGACCTACGTAACTAACTGCTGGCAGCATTTGCGGAATAGGTACACCCCTGGTTAATAGAGTGTACAGTGTGTAGGCCTTCGGAGTACTCGAGATTTTCTCTTGTTGCCATCCTCGTCTAGTTCTTTTTTAAGTTAAATGTTAAAGTTATAGAAATATCTGGGTTCCAAGCAGTGAGTGTATAATACATTTACACCGACGTTTATAAATTTAGTAGAAGACAAGTACCTTGTTAATCATCTTAAAAAAGCATTTTAGATAATTTTATGTAACGCAGTCGCTGCGTGTTTAATGAATTGTTGTCATAATTCGCAAGTCTGATTTATCTTTGATCAAATGATAGTGGAATGTAAACGTTTTCAACTTCAGAAATAGTGGTTCACTCTCACTTAGACGTATGTGTTACATAAATTTGCAAAAACCAAATGACGTATGTAAATACAGTTTTTTTTAATTGACTTGGCGCTTAGCTATTTTTAATTGTGTATTCTCTTCGTAGTTCTAAAATAAAATCATACCACTGGCTAATGCCTACTTACAAAGTCAAGTCACTGACAAGTTTTTTACAATGGCTTTTCCCCAAAATTTGTTAACAACTTGCATATGAATGATATTGTTTGAGTTGCTTTGATTAAGATTATTTGTCACTTGAAGATTAAAACCTCACAATTTATTCATTTTGGTGAAAAAATTTTTTTGTTACCATATAAATTTCCTCACGAAAAAAAAATTTTCTCTCACAAAGTATATCATTTTTCTATCAAACTTTGCAAATTTTTTCCAATGTAGCCTCAGTGATGCAATGATTAAAATAATTTTTTTTGTTACTAATGCATTGACAGAAGAGCTTTGAGTAAAAAAAAACAAGTCCAGCAGTCATTTAGAAAATGAGCTCTCATCATCGTTTGAACCCATCATCTTCTGGTGACGTGGAGCACACTAACTTCCTGTCAGAGGATATTGGTGCATTATACTTGGCAGATGATTACTCAGATGTGACACTAATAGTTAATAATCAGAGATTTAATGGTCACAAAGCAATACTGGCTGCAAGAAGCCAATATTTTCGTGCACTCCTTTTTGGAGGATTACGAGAGTCAACCCAGAATGAAATAGAACTGAAAGAACCTACGTTGCCAGCATTCAAAGCATTGCTAAAGTACATTTACACGGGACATATGTCATTAGCCAATCAACACGAAGAAGTAATTGCTTACGGGTTTTACCAACCTCACTGCTAAAATTTTTTTTTTCCACATTTTTTCTTATGACTAAATTGTTTTTATAACTGGACGATTTTAGATTATTCTGGATATTTTGGGTTTGGCCCATCAATACGGCTTTATTGAACTTGAAGCTTCTATTTCCGACTTCTTGAAAGAAATTCTAAATGTTAAAAATGTTTGTATCATATTTGATGCTGCACGACTGTATCATCTCGAATTTTTAATGAAGGTATAGAAAATTGATACATATTTGTACAATGAACCATTATTTGTCGAAAAAATTTAATTGTGATACACTTTTTTCTTTTTTAGGTATGCTACGAATTTATGGATAAACATGCCTTTGAGATCTTACAGCATGAAAGTTTTTTGCAATTAAGTTCAGGTGCCTTAAATGATTTGTTGGCTCGAGATTCTTTTTATGCATTAGAAATCGATATATTTATGGCGGTTCAATCGTGGGTCAAAGCAAATCCTGGAATTGAAGCTGACAAAGTCTTGCGTAAGAATCACAATTTTGAAAAGTGAAAGTGCAACCATCGCAGTTATTTAACAATAATAAAAAAAGTAATTGATTGAATTTTAATCCACAGAGCAAGTTAGATTAAGCTTGATATCGGTTCAAGACTTGTTGAATGTTGTAAGACCGACTAGCTTGGTATCTCCCGAAGATATTTTAGATGCTATTGCAGCAAGTACGCAAACAAGAAATTTAAATTTAAATCATCGTGGTCTCTTACTCTTGGATGAAAATGTGGCACATGTCCGATGTGGTGCTCAAGTTTTACAAGGAGAAATGCGTAATTATCTTCTCGATGGAGATACTGAAAATTATGATATGGAAAGAGGGTAATTACATTTTTTTTAATATATGCACACATTGAACTATAATATTATCATATGTATGCTGGTAATTTATTCTATTCGTATAACCACTGTAAGAGAGAACTTCTTTCAGTAATAATTTTTATTAAAATCCTATTAACTTTGGAATTATCATTAATTATAGATATTTTGTTCTTGTATGCAAAATATAGATATTCTCATATCATTATGTTGAAATTTTAAATTGTTATCCTGTATTGAAAGTTTAATGGCCTTAAAGTGAAGCCTCAATAGCATTGGCTTATGACTACTGGCTTACATTTAATAAGTCATTGCCATGAGAAATCGCTAATTTTTAATATATGTATTTTTCCATCTTACAAAACGTGATGTTATTGATTGAGACTAATAATGTAGTTTTTTAAATAAAATTTTGAGAAAATGAAGTCAAAAAATACATTTAAGTAGCAGGTTATACACTTGCTTGAAGGTACAAAAATTCGTTGAAAAATTATTTAATTGTTAAATTTTTTAAGGAATTATAAAAAAATATTAGAATTTGATGAAAGTTTGGGGGTTAGGGCGTAGACCTCTAGTATTTTAATGACATCATTTAATTATGATCAAGATTATACTTTAATTTTTCAAGCATTACCTAATTAAATATCGAAATGGTTAAAATATTGTGCTTTACAGTGATGCTCCCATACAAGCCTGTGTATAAGCAACTAACTTTGCGATTTAATTTTTCACAAACTACCGCTAGTCCTACTAAAATTCGAATATGTTTTTAATATTGAATTTTACTGATTTAATTTTTTTTTAAATCTTCTGAATTTAATTAATTTATATAATAACCCCCTTAATCGGTATGCCCAGATTGTCGACTGGAAGGAATGACTGGAGCAAATGTTATCCCCCCTAAGAACTAGAGAAATTATTTTATTTCAACTCGTATTAAGTTAGTATTGTGTATGGATGAAAAAAAGTGCTACTCAGCAATCTTACCGTGGTTCTGGAGGAGGTGCTTTCTTGATTGAACACAAAACTCTACCTGTTAAAAAATTTTACACCAAGTTGACCCACATATCCGATATAATCTATTTCCTAGTTGCCAAGCTAAAATAATTTCTGTGCTGATTTAGAGGCGAGAGATGTGCTCATAATATTGATAATTTTCTGTTGCCACTTGCATGCATTCAATGTAATCATCACTTATAGTGTTAGCTTAAATTTATTAGTTGTTTTTCTTTCAGATACACAAGGCACACAATGACTGATTCTCCAGACAGTTGCATACTCATCAAACTCAATACTCAGTACATATTGAATCACATGAAAATGTTGCTGTGGGATCGAGATACGCGTTCATATTCCTATTATATTGAGGTACATTGATTGTAAAACAGTATAAGAGCGTGTATAGCATTGCAATTTTCCAATTATGTGCATTTGTTTAGGTATCCATGGACGAAAAAGACTGGATTAGAGTCATAGATCACACCCAATATTTTTGCAGAAGCTGGCAATATCTGTACTTTGAACCCCGAATCGTTTTGTACATACGTATTGTTGGAACAAATAATACTGTGAATAAAGTAGGCACTTGAGTCATGTACTATTTTTCAACAACTTTTACTTTGATAACTTTAATTAAACATTAATTGTTGATAGGTTTTTCATGTAGTAAGTTTTGAAGCCTGCTACACAAATCACAATGAAAAACTGCTGAATGGCTTAATTGTACCTACTCACAATGTAGCGACTATGGAACGGAGTGCTTGTGTAATGGAGGGAGTTAGCAGGTAAAATTTGATTGTTGTTTTAAATTTTGTATATTTTCTCAAAGCAATCATAAATTAGTAATTCTGACAAAATGTTTAGATCTCGCAACACTTTACTTAATGGAGATACTAAAAATTACGACTGGGATCGTGGTTACATGTGCCATCAACTTAATTATGGGTGTATTCAAATACAACTCGGGCAACCTTACATGATCGACTCTATGAGGTTACTAATTTTTTTAAAACGGACATCGAAAGAAAATTTATCAGTAGAAGGTCGTAAATGTAACTATATTTATCAGGTTGCTCCTATGGGACTGCGATGATCGATCTTACTGTTATTACATACAAGTTTCTGGTAATATGAAAAATTGGGATCTCGTTGTTGATAAAACGATGGAACAATGTCGGTCTTGGCAAACGCTACGCTTCAGTCCACCACGACCCATTGTATTTATAAGAATTGTTGGGACACACAACACAGCAAATGAGGTACGTAAATTTTTTTTTTTTTTCAAGTGTCACATTTTTTAAGTCTTTTTAAATTTTTTTCATTTAAAATTTGTGCACTAGTAATCGTAATTTTGTAAATATAAGTGTTTTAGAAAATTATGCATGTATGTATGTGTATCAAATTTTAGTTATTACTTTTTGTGGAAAATTTTTTTTAAAAACATTCCATAAAGCGTATGTATAAATCCGATAGATTTAATTATTTTGAGTTATAACTTTTTTTTAAAGGATAAAATATCACCGTAAAGCAAAGCATTTAAAAATTTCATTATTAACGGGTTACGGTATCTAGACTTTTACTTAATTAAATTTTTTACTCTACACTATGTTGAAGTCTAGATTGCCAAGCATCTTTTTTTGCAGATTAGAATAAAAAAAATTTTTTTTGAAAAAGCACAAGAAATTTTTTAAGTTTTTTTGAATTATGTGAGATCAGTTATTTAATTTAACCAAGTTATCAATTTTGAGACTAAATTGAAAATAATTGTTTTATATTCGGAAGTGAACAAAAACATCAAATTTTTTGCAGCCTCAAATTCAAGTGTGGATCGTAGTAGCAATGTCGAAAGTACAGAGCATTTGTCCCGATAAAATTAGCGGTACTGCCATAATACCGCTTATTTCGATGGTTTTTGAAACTACCTAATAGGTAACCATAGCTTAGGCGCCCGGCGATCAAATGTGCCAAACTTAATTTCTTTGTAGAATTCCATTTGGGGCTTTAGGATCGCTGAAAAACTACACCATTACAATAATGACGGGTCTGTTATTACCGTAATGCTTCTTTTAAATTAAAAAAAACGTTCCATTTATAATAACATGGGTTTTTGAAAAACAAAATAGAGTCAGGCCCAAAAGTTTCCAACTAGTGATGACTTTATGTAACGTAAAAATAATAACGAAGGCATTTTAAACATTGAATTTAAAAAATATCATTTTAAACGACGAATCATCGAGATTTTTTTTAAATGCCCCACATCAAATCATTTTCCGAATGATATTTAAAAAGGAAAAAAAAATAAAACATTTCAAGAAATGTGCTAAATAAATTTTATGGAATAATAGAATTATGTAATCTTATTAGGATATTATAAATCAATTTATGAACCACTGGTTTACGAATCGTTCTTGTAACAATTTAACGAATAATTAACTCAATTCCCTTCAAATTTACACATCTTCTGCAGAAGCACAATTACTAGACTTCTACTCCGAAATTAAAAAAAAAAATTTCTTATCAGTTGACTTATAAATCAATGCTGTCGAATTTCAATCTTGTTTATTATTTCTCTACTCGACTTATTTTTTCTTCCTCACAGAAGAAATTTTGCGATGGACGAAAAATTACTTATCGAGATAACGTACTGTAAATACAATGTTTTCTGGACTTAACAGTTAAAAAATCTGCAGACAAAAATATCCGCACACGCGCGCGCGTGTGTGTTTGTAATTTTATAGGAGTATAAAAAATCAGTTACATCTCATATCTCAAAATTTCGTCTGGCATCAGGATTCTTATTACCCGAAAAAAGTAGTGGCATTGATATATTTGGAGCTATTCACATATGATTCTATGCATAGACATTTTTTGCTTATTTCTTCTTCTTCTTAGGGGGTTTTGGTGGCTCCAGTTAATATGCTTGTTAGCAGCGTAATCCGAACGGCCATTAACGAAACTGATCCCAACGTCTCGCTAGCCCGCGCCCAGCGGGTGTAGGGCAAGCGTGCTCGAGAGGAAGGGAGAGATGACCTGGGCAAAAGAAATAGACGTTAAATATTGCGTGTACTCTCTCGTTTATTGAACTGTGGTCCGACAGTTCAAGTCGGTAGGCGCAGTTAGACTGACTACAAGTGTGTAACCCACTCTCTCTCTCTCCTCTGCTAGACTCGTGATTCTAGCCTACACTGAGCTATGTGGTAGGGGGGAATCCCTATTCAGCCCCCTTCAAGTTTTAACGTAATTTAAAACTTATACTGTACAAACCATTCAACTTAAATTTTTATACATTTACCATGTTAACTGAGAGGAGAGAGTAGTTGTAAGTAGAAACTTTTTTACAATACATTTAAATGCAATTATTTCGCTCTTAACAACTTAAACTTTAATTTACGAGATTGAGTACCAATACGACAATCAAAAACTTTCAGCTCGCTCGGCCGCTTACATTTAACTAGCAAATCGTCCCTGCCGAGGCGACCATCCGGTAATCCAGTAAAAAAATCAATAAATTCTTTTTTGAAGCGCTTAAACGCTTATACGGGTTAATCAAGATTGCTGAACACTGTTAATTCGGATGACGCCTGACAGAGACGATATTTACATATGGATGTTGATTTTTCGCTTTTAAACCTAATCACAATACAATCATTACGCACGCATATGTACAACTATTTACATAAGTTCGCTAGCCATCTGCACTCACCTCGCTAAAAGTCACTTTTTTATTTTGACTAATTGCAGGTTTTTTTCCCGAATAAGTTTTGAGTACATGGCGTATAGTTGGGGGTAGGTTCGGTACCTTAATTTCGTCCGGCAACGGTTGCCACTGCGAATTTTTGAGTGCAAAGTGCGCAGGTTTTAACAATACAATCGGCAACTGGCGCAACCGATTTTTTGTCGTTTTTTGTTTTGTTTTGTTTTGTTGTGGCTTTGTGTTTTCTTTCTTTTTGTTTTTTTTGTTTTTTTGTTTTTTGGTTGTTTGTTGTTTTGTGAATTTTTTTGTTTTTGGTTGTTTATACATAGCTGTGATTTTTTGGGGGTTTTGGTCGGGATTGGAAGTTTTATTTGCATTATCTCGCATCTGTGCCGTAATTCTCTGAATTTGCGCTTCTAGCTGGGTAATACGATCGTCCGCCATCGCGATTCTCCCCGAAGAAAAATACACGACACTATTGTTTGCCCGTGAAAGAGCTCCGCAACAAGGTCGATTCTCTACTGGTATTTAATACAAAGCCAATTTTCCGATTAACGCGACAATAATCCACAGGTTTGAGCGAACGAAATAACAGCACAAGACGCCTGAACAAAACAAACGCTTCGCTCCAACGAAACGAGTGAGTAACGCAGCGAAGGTCGACTTTCAAAACATTCCGATATAATCATACACCACACTTGTTTTCGGTTTTCTTACTTTTGTTGCTTGCTAAAATTGAATTATTTGATGTTTTGGTAATCGATTTGCGATCCAGCGATATACATAGTTTTTAGAAAGCGAGATTTAACGATTTGTTGTATTATTCGATAGCTTTCTAATTTTGTTGTAAAGATTGTTTTGGGACAGTAATACACGACTTACTTGTACAATTAACGTCTAAAGGCAACAAAACGAAGTTTGATTTTGAACGCTTGCGACGCTTTCAGTTCTACGAACTGAACTCTTGTACTCACGCAGCCCTGACGACGCGCCTCACAATGCCACGGTGACCCTCGCGTCGACTGTGCACTTGCCGACAGCGATGATCGTCGATTTGGCGATTAGCCGGTGGCGGTCGTCCCGCTGAGCAGAGTCAGAAGCGTTTCAGTTGCCGGTAGCCAGAAATCCCGTTTGTCCTTGACCTCTCGCCGACGAAGAGATTCGAACTCCCAGGTCCACCTTTTTTCTGATGTTGCCCTGGTGTTCGTAACGTTGTTGACCGTCGGTGGTAAGCGTCGGGGTTACCAAATGTAGGGCAAGCGTGCTCGAGAGGAAGGGAGAGATGACCTGGGCAAAAGAAATAGACGTTAAATATTGCGTGTACTCTCTCGTTTATTGAACTGTGGTCCGACTGTTCAAGTCGGTAGGCGCAGTTAGACTGACTACAAGTGTGTAACCCACTCTCTCTCTCTCCTCTGCTAGACTCGTGATTCTAGCCTACACTGAGCTATGTGATAGGGGAGAGTCCCTATACGGGAAGGATCTTGGCGCCCTCCGCCGTGAGTGAAGCGAAGTGGTGAACCTCGCCTCATTGCACTGGACTAGAGGGCGCGAAGACGCGACGGGCGTGGACTCCGGACTGCAGGACGTGATAGGGCGCGCGGTTTAGAAATAAAATGTAAGTGCATTGCAGGGGTTAGAGGGTGTATATGTAGGGGTGGGTGTGAAGAATGCCGTGTCGGGATGATTATTGGGAAGTAAAGTAATACAGTGGGAGATGAGCTTGGGTCTAGTACATTAGTAGGTAGTGGTACGATGAATTTAGAGAGAAATGTTGCATTTGCGGAGAAAGTTATGCAGAATTGAAATGAGTTTGACTGATGGGGTGGCTGAGAGGAAGGAGTTTATTATGTAGGGGGGTATAGCTTTAGTTTGGAGAGTATTTTGAGGAGAGGAGCTCGTTGGGGGTTGAAGCGTTCGCAGGACCAATAAATGTGGTTTAGGTCTTCAATGTCATTGCCGCATTGGCAGTTGGGGTCTGGGATGAGGTTTTTGCGATGAAGGCTAAAGGCCAGTTTGTAGTGGTTGGAACGCATTCTGCTGAAAGATGTGACTTGGTCCCTTGACAGGGGAAGAGAATGGAACCAGGGTTTTGCGGAGGGTTTGAAGCTGATGTCGAAGTAGAAAAGACCTTTTCTAGAGTCGTCATCTTTAAAGAGTTGGATGAATTTTGAGGAGATTTGTGAGTTGAATAGGGCTTGGTAATCCGAGAAAGGGAGAGGGTGGTCCAGTATAGTAGGCCATCGGCTATGGCTTCTTTTGCAAGTAGGTCAGCTTTTGTGTTGCCCGGGATGCCTTTGTGGCTGGGGATCCAGGCTAGGATGACTGAAATGTTTGAGGAGTGTAGTTCGTAGATGATTTTTTTGATACGTTGAATGGTTACATGGGGTGATACGTTTAGGGGGGATGTGTCAGCTAAGGATTCGAGGCTGCTGAGTGAATCAATAGCAAGGGGGTACTGAGTTGGAGTAGATGTGAGACTTGAGTGGGGAGAGTTTGTTGAGGGCGAGTATAAGGGGGTGGTTAAGGAGTCTGGTACAGTTTGGATTTGATTCGTTTTGAAGA